TAATATTTAACATATAATTGTCCAATAAAATAATAGCTATCTAAAAATAACTATCCAATAGAAATACTAATAATTATAATCCAATAATAATGAATATAAATCTTATCCAATAAGATTATTCGTTAAATGTCATATCATGACACTATCTAAAGGATTATTAAAAGAATATAAAACTAAAACTTGAATTGAATTAATTAATTTTTCTAAGCTAAGATACAAGCTATATTTATAAGTATTTGATAATTATAAAATAATCATTTGGAATGATCATTCAGAGCATTTGAAATGATCATTTACAATAATCATTTGCAATGATCATTTGAAGTATTTGAGATGATTATTTGCAATGATTATTCAGAGCACTTGAGATGATTAGTTAGAATGATCATTTGAAATGATTATTCGAAGTGATCATGTGAAGCGATCATGTGAAATGATTATGTAAAGCGATCATGTGAGATATTTGTTTGTGATTATGAAAATATCTAATCACAACAGTATAGATTTTTAAAGATTATATAATTCTATACTATTTCTAAGTGTTATTTATAGACTTTTTCATAATAATAATACAATACATCTGTGACATAATTATATTTTATAATATTTTTTAGCATAACAAGACAAAGATAAATTTAGTCAAAATTTTAATAAATTGTAAAGTTAGAATTATAATCTATATATATTATCAGCATTTTTAGAATTATTATTTATGATAATATTTTTGAAATATAATAAATGACTATGTTCATGTAAAAGATCAGACTACTGAACTATAATTTAAATATCAAATAATAAAATAATGGGATTGAATATAACTTTAACAAGAAAATAAATATGATACTTTTTCAAAATATCAGTCAATAATAATTATATAAAAATATAAATATGAATATAAAAATAAATGCTGTCTCTCTTAGATCAGTAATATAAAAATAAAAATAACATAATACCTTTTTAATATCTTTCAAATCTCAAAAATAATAATACAAATAATAAATAATAAATAATAAATAATAAAGAATAAATAATAAATAATGCAAATAATAAATAAATAATACAAATAATAAATATAAATAAAGTATGAATAATAGTTTTTTGTTAAGATAATATAATTAAAAAATCAAAGTAATATAAATCACAATTAAATTTTATTTAATATTAATAAAGAATATATGAATTAATAACTTTATAATTTGATAACTTAATGATTTAATTATAATTATAACTAAAATATATATTATTTATATATCTATTTCTATCTCAAAAAAAAAACTAATTAAAATCTAATATATTCTCATATATTACAAGTAATATATAATATTACTCTAATTTATCAAGTGTTATATATTTAAATCTGGTGTCAACACATACTAAAATATTATTGATACTTTTTTATCATCACATAATAAAACTAATTAAATATAAAATAAACTTAATATAATATAAAATAATATCAATATAATACAAAAAAAATTAAATATATGAGAAGAATCAATTAAAATATAGAAATAGAACACATGTTAAATCTTAATAAAATAATCTATATTAAATATATATTATAATATAAATCTAATTTATAATAAAGAACCAATTAAATATCTAAATAAAAAAAATTTAATAAATTGTATAACCGTTTTTCTTATTTGGGATGATCTCTCTTGTATGCTAGAAATATTAATTCATATATTAATGCTTCTAATATAGATTCAGACTTTAGGATCTTAAATATCTATATAAATTAAGCTGATTTTATATGAAAATTGGTAAATAAGTAAATTTTATAAAATAGTACATTTTTAATTAGTGATTCAAATTTGGATCCGTCATAGAAAAAAGTTCTTCAATGTGAGAAATTTACTAATTGTAAATTTTGATTTAAATAACTCTATTTCACAAAATAATCTGTTGTCAAATTATTTTTAAAAAATATTAGAGATTTCAGAATTTCAAATAAATACTTTTTTATTTTGTTCAAACTAATAATCATGGAAATAAAAATGCTAGAAAGTTAATTTTCGTGTTTCGTTACATGTATGAGCCACTGTATATAATCTTGATTTCAGCTCTAAATCTAACGCTAATACTTGATATCTAATATTAATCGGATATTTTAATGGACTTATTTCAGATAACGTGACCGACACTTTTTTTGCCGTGGCTAGGTTGCCTAAATCCATCTGTTTCCCGTATTGGTTTCGAGATCGTCAGAGGTCGAAAAATCACGTGAAGGAACAATCGGTCTTAGGAGATGTTGAGAAAAGTCACGTGAAAGAAGAATCCAGCTTTACCGAACCAAATTTCAAATTTGGAATTGACCACAAATAATGAAACCCGAAAAATCGTAAACGATGCAACATTTTACTATGATAAGGGGAGTGACAGATATTCTTGGGAGTGACAGATATTAACTATATCTAAAATTTTTACTTGTCGAAAACTGGTTATCATAGTAAAATGTTGCGCTATTTGCGATTTTTCGGGTTTCATTATTTGTTTTGGAATTTGTTGTATTTGACCTTGTAGTTGGATTAGTCAATTTCAAATTTGGAAATTTGAAATTTGGTTCGGTAAAACTGGTCCAAAAAATTAGAACCATAAGGTTGAATCCAACGTTACCTATTGTACGTTGATCAATAAAAGACTTATTTGTATATCAATATGAAAAACACGAGACTGCGAATTTTTCATGTGCTTGCCGAAATAGAAATAAAAATTTTTCCTTAATTGTGTGGCTTTAATTATACTCATTAACTGTAACAGCGAATGCCGAATGTTATTTGTTGATATTTCTTTACATGTGAAGTAAAAAAAATAAACGCGCGAATCCTCTTATCCTGTGATAACGCATTTTTCCTTGTTATAAATTTTTTCCAGTAGATTCCATGAATTTCTTGCACACGATTCACCTTAATAATTTGTGTATATTCTGTACGCCAAAAATACTGCATATAGATATAGATGAGACACATAATAGCGATAGTAATTGATGAGATAATGAAACATTGGGTTGTTTTGTTTCTTCTCCAATTAAACGACTAAAGGAAAATCTCGACGCCGAACAAGTTTTAGTAAAGTTGTTGGAAGCTGGTTAATTTTTTTATATTATTAGTTTACTTTCGAGCTCGAAATGGTTTCACTCTTACTCTCTTTGGAACATACGCAATTTTTAAGGGGAAAAGTTTGGTTTAATCGCTAACCACTAGTTTTTTTGTGTCATAGAAAACTTGAATTTTCTGGGTTGCCTTTAAATTTCATCGAGATTATGTTAATCCTATTCAGGATTACTTGATGTTTAATACTATTTATATTCCAAATATGGTTACCCGTTTTTATTGCCAATTATTTTTATCTTTTGAAAAGTGCAATCTCCAAAAAACTGAATTATAAGGATTAAATGGTGGCAGATTAATACCCGATTTAGAAAGTATCTTCTCGAAAATGATAGCTTACGCCATCATACTTATTATTTTTTTTAAGTGATATGAGTCATTTTTAAAGAAAATTTTCGCGTAATTATCTTTCTTTACAATGGCTAAAAGTTTCCAATTGTTAGTCTTTTAAAGAAGGCGGAAACACATAGTGATAGTAACTTGATGTGCACATCCGATTCCGAAAGGGAGCTTCGATTTTAGTTTGACAGGAAATTTAGAGTATGTTTCGCAGAAGATCATAACGCATTTAGATTAAGCATATTCATAATGCATTATTTAAACTAACGATATGTGCCACCTGAAGGGATCAACGCTTTCAGCCGACAAATTCCAGATATGTTTGACTTTAGTATAAATTATTGTTTCTTTGTTTAACAGCTTGGGAAAATTGCTAGTGAAAAAATTTTATTGTGTATATGTGTACGTTGTCATACAGGTCACTTCCCGAGTTACACTAAATAAGATCGATTTCGATTATCTGTGGGTGTACAACTAGTAACGATATAAAAACCGTCAAGCGTCACATCTATAGAGTTCCTTTTGCACCGAAAACTTTGCCTTTCGGAAGGCATTCTATTTATTTGTTGTGCTTTTGCTGCTAACTTAATTTTTTCCTAGATTATCTTTCATTTTTTAGGGTATCCTGTACCAATAACGGAAAAATTTAATCATTTAAACGAAAAATAATGACAACTAAGGCGGAATTTCCCAAGGGCGAATTTTACATAAAGTCGGCTGCTTCTCCTTCGGGAGCTTCACTGACCTCCCCTGCTAACCAGAATTATGTCCTTGATACGGATAAAGGATTTTTCTGGACAGCACCAAAGGACGGTACGAAAATTGCATTGCAAAAACAAAAAAGTGACACAGCTCACGACCCGGCTCAACTTTGGCGCTATGAAGACGGCTGGATTATCAACAAGGCGCATAGCTTTGTTCTTGAAGCAGAAAATGGTAAACTATTAATTAATCGCATATTAATTAGTCAAATGCTCGCTTGCTCGCACGTTCCTTTCATGTATAATATTTTTCATAGATGTGACTTTAAAGTAAAATGAACATCTACTTTTATAAATTATCACGCGTCATTGACGATTTAAGTTTTATCTGTGTTACATTGCGTATTTAATTCCCACGAAAAAATCTAAAATTTGATCGGCATACCATCATATCTTTTTACCACGTGCTCAAAATCACGTGTCTAACTTTATGATGTCTTTCTTTTTCATAATAGGCAAAGTTGGTAATCGTATTATTCTCTTCCACAAGAGAAGTGCCACTGCGGCGCAAAATCAACGTTGGAATATCACCAAAGATGGTTGGATCACCTTGCAAAGTCAAAGTAAACACGTGTTGGAAGTGAAAGGAAACAGCGTAAAAGAAGGCTCCTCTGTCATTCTTTCCGACTCTACTTCTAAAGGATTCGGTAAAGATAAGACAAGTAGCTGGATTCTCGTGCCAATTTTAGGAAAAAAAACAGTAGCTAGTACGTAAAACTCTTCGCTTTGATTGTAGGATTCCGCAGTAAATTATCACGTGATGATACTAGTAATTATTAATATTATTAGAAGGTAAATCTATCGGTGTTATTAGACTGGAATTAGTGAATGCTAGAGATTTGAAAAATGTGGATTCTTGGGCCGGAGGAGGTAATTTTCGTTTACTATTATTGATTGATATTTTTCTTGTTGAATTTCAAATTTATGGATATTAACATCATTATATAATCTATCAATAAATAGGGAAATCCGACCCTTATGTCGTAGTTTATGCACCGGGTACTAAAGAACCAATCGTCAAAACGAAAACAATTGATAATGATTTGAATCCTGTTTGGAATGAAACATTCTATATTCCCGTAACACACATTGGTGAAAAATTTACCATTGAAGTATTTGATGAAAACACATTGCAGAGAGACAAAACGCTTGGCACATCAATATTCGAAGTTAAAACAGAACTTGTTAAAAAATTACCAGATGGATCATACCAAGGCAACGAAAAAGGAATCGATGCGTAAGTAAAAATTGAATTATTATCAATTCAATTCAGAATATTAATCTAATTATTATTTTGACCTTTTAAAATTCATTAAAATCAGCTGGGTTAATCTTACTGTCAAGGGTCAACTTCATTATAAAGCAAAATTCTTCCCATTATCCTCTGGTCCCGCACCAGGACCAGATTTCACAAATAACCTCAAAAATAAACCATTCGACATTAACATTTTCTATTCGCTTGTTACTCTCCAATCTACAAATGGCAGTTTCGAGCCATCAGAAAATTTAGCGAGAGTATTCGGTTATGAATCTAAAGAACAACTTCTTGATTTATTCAGGTCGAATGCTAAAATTTCTAATAACGAAGAACGTGTCTTAAAGACAAAACAAGCTTTATGGACTACAAGTTTGGTTCTTTGGTTTTTACGATATTTGTTAAGAACTTATCGTTCCGAATGGTCATCGTTGTACGATCGTGCTGAGCAATATATTAGTAAAGAAATTAATGGAGATCTCGAACTCGAAGAGTCGATTATCAAAATCGGAAGGGAATCCGTTCGAAACAGATTCGAAGTTAATGTGCGCGAAGAATGTATGTATAAACGATAATTTCTATTCTATTTTGTATGATATTATAATTTTTGATTGTTTCGATTTTTTTTCACTAATAGATATTGTGAAGCTTGGTGTAACACGCCAAACCATGACGGTTGAACATGTTAAACAATCATTTAAACACCAAACTAAACTTGGCTCGTTTCTTCTCACCGACGAGCTTGCCAAAATCCTTAATTTCAATAATGCGGATGTCCTCCGTAGCGAAATCAGTTCCTATATTCAAAAAAGTTCAAAAAATGCCAGATTAACGAGTTTAGAAACGCAAGTTTGGGTCGCTACCCTGGTTCTCTATTATTATCGTTATGTGGCGGTGGATCATAAACAAGAATGGATCATTCCGTATGAAATCACTTACACTTGGCTTTGGGGTCAATTTAAAGGCAAAGAAACGCTTGAACAGGAAGCTTTCACACTTATTAAATCATACGCTAAAGAGTATTATAAAGTCCAAGATGATGCTTTGGAATTGGATGAAAAATTCGAAGCTGAATTTCATGAAACTAGAATTGCGATTCATGCTGGACGACGTATAGATCGTGATGGTAAACTTTTATGTAAGTTGAATTAAATTTTATTTCTCATTGAATTTGAGTGAGTAATTGATTTCGAGAAACTTTCACACATACACAAAATTTATTATAATGTATAGCGATCCCAAAACCGTTGGGTATCGCACGTATTCATATTGATTGCGCCAAGAAACTTCGTGCTGCTGATTCTTGGTTGACCGGTGGTGCTTCTGATCCTTATCTCATTATCACCGATTTAACTTCCGGTTGGCAATATGGTGAAACGCGCGTTATATATAATGACTTGAATCCCAAATGGGATCAAGTTTTCTTTATTCCTGTCTACGATATCAGTCAAAAGTACCAAATAGTCGTCAATGACTACAACGCCTTCTTCAAACATGAACTTTTGGGTAGTTATGTGTTAGATGCGAAAGACATTATCATTCGTCGTGCCGATGGTACTATTAAAGGGAAGAGGTTTGATCATTGGGCTAAATTGTTCTATAAGAAAACACAAAAAGGTCAATTGCATTTCACCGCCGATTTCTTCCCCTCTGTTGACTTCGATAGCTCTGAAAAAATTGACATTTCCCAAAGCTCAGTTCAATTGAGTCATCTTCATATTATCATCTCTCTTCAGAAGCAAGATGGATCTTTTGAATTTAGTGAAAGTATCGCAAAGTTATTCAATTTCTCCAGTTCCCAGGAATTAATTGAATCTTACCAATATTTTATTCAAAACGACTCTCAACTTGTCACCTTAAATAATAACGTTTTGACCACTGTGCTTATCACTTCGCTCCTCAAAGTTCTTTTTTGGAAACACAGAGCAGAATGGACAGCATTTTATTTAAAAAGTGAATCTTGGTTAAGTGAGAAAATCAACAATGTTACAATCGAAGACAAATTATACGCGTACTCTAATAGATATGTATTAGAACGGTTCAATATTAGCGCTTTTGAAAGTGAAGAGCACAAATCTAGTTTAAATACAACAGGTATTGACTTTTGCATGATGTTAATGAATGCTTTATTTATCTTGATGAAATCTAATTTTCCCATTCTCGTCAATTAATAGTTACAAGAACCATCATTAAATATACGCGTACTACTATTACCGATGTGCGTATTGTACGTCGTATCACCTCTTACCAAAGGGAACATGGCGCATTTGAACTTGATACAGAATTGGCTGAATCACTTGGCTTTAATTCAGTCGAGGAAGCTAATCAACACATTTCTGGACATTTCTCTTCTTATTCTAAAGTCTACCAAGTTAATATTAATGTTTGGACTACTGCCGTGTTACTTTGGTATCTTCGTTATGTTCTAGTCGACTATCGCGTTGAATGGGTCGACAAATATACTAAATCATCAACATGGCTCACTGAAAATATCAAAAACGCAGAGATCGAAAAAGAAGTTTATGAAGCTGCGAGATCTTATGTCATCAACCGATATGAAGTCGATGAGACGTCTATCAGCGAAGATAAATCGTTCGAAAAGACTTTGACGTTGAGCGCAGATAAGAGTATTGTACCAGAAACTGAGGCAGACACCAACTTAATAGAGTATGGTGTTGATGAGGTTATCGGTCTAGTCAAAATTAAAATTGATCGTGCTACAGAAGTTAAGAAAGCAAGCTTCATCAGCGGTGGACATACAGATCCTTATGTGAAGATTCTTGATGAGAGTTCAAAAGAAATTGCTCGCACAAAAACAGTTAATTCAACCACAGATCCTGTTTGGGAAGAAGTTCATTTCGTTCCAATTCATCGTGTTGGCGAAAAAATTTCACTTGAAATTCTAGATTCTAATTTGTTTTTGTCCGATTCTGTACTCGGTTACTTGACCATTGACACCACTGACTTGGTAATCCAGGTTGATGAAGGAAAGTTTGAAAGTTTGAATCCCGTGGATAAATGGGAAAGTATTTTACTCGCTTCCGGTCAAGGTGCACAAGGTGAATTGCATTATGAAGCGCAATTCTACTCGACTGGCTTTACATGGGAAGAAGATTTCACATTCAAAAAACAAACAGTAAATATTCGTCACCTTTACACCCTAATCAGCTGGCGAGCAAGTCATGGCGCATTCGAGTTCTCGAATAACTTGGCACATTATTTCAACTTCAAATCTGAGAACGATTTCTTTGACGATTTTAAGACACATGTGACACATAACGAACGCTTGCTTGCTTTGGATATTTCTGTATGGTCGACTGCACTCGTCATCACATACGTGAAATTATTATTCTGGGAACACAATAGTGAATGGAGTAATGTTGTTGAAAATAGTGAAAATTGGCTGGCTCAACAAGTTTATGATGTGGAGCTCGAAGACCAATTATACGAGATTACTAAAAAATACGTCATTAGACGTTTCGAAATCACCGAAATCACTCTTGTTCAAAAGGCAAGCTTGGGCAAAGGTATTTATATTTATTATTGATTTAATTATTAATTCATTTATTTATTTATTGTTACTGTTATCAATACTTATATCATAATATTGATATAATTTTATAATCAAATAGACATCACTAAAATTACCCGAAAGATTATTAATATTCGCCATGTTAATCGCATCAAGTCTTATCAATCTGCTGAAGGATTTTTTTCCTTGGAACAACATACTGCTGAATTCTTCGGTTACAAAAGTTCTGAAGAGTTCTCAACTCACCTCAAGAGTTACTTCAAGTCCGAACACTTGTCACAGACACACATCAATGTTTTGGTCACCACAGTCAGTATTTATTATTTGAGATTGGTTGCCGGTGATTACCGTAACGATTGGGTGACGCAATACGAAAAGTCTTCGGAATGGTTAAAACTCCAATTCAAAGGAGATACACAATTTGAAAAGGAAATCCACGAAAGCGCCAAAAAATTTGTTATCGAAAATTATCAAGTTGAAAAGGAACATTTCGAGGCTGATGTTAGTTTCATATCTGGCATTGAAACAAAGAAAGAACAAATTGAGCTCGAAGAGGATGATAGTTCCACTGAGATAGTAGAAAAGAAACAAACGATATCAGATTACACTGAAGAACAAAGAACTGCTCTTATTGCTATTCAAACATCACATACCGTCGAAAAGACTCAATCCATTTTGACCTATTTCAGGAAAGATGGTCATTTCGAATTGAGTGATTTAGTATCCAAAAAACTCGAGGTCACTTCCCATACATTGATCTCGTCTATTCATTCGTACGGTGTTAGTGAAACAATTAAGACTTCGATTGATGAAACTGTGTGGACTACGGCAGTCACTCTTAATTACCTCAAGATTGCTGTCGCACATCACGAAGCCTATTGGAAACAACAGTATGAATCTTCATTTAATTGGTTGCATGAAAAAATTAACGATACTGAAGTTGAAAAAGAGGTTTTGGAAGTTTCGCGTCGATTCGTTATTGAACGTTCGACAACAAGAGTAATTCGCAAGCAATCACAAACTACTGTAATTCGAATTCAAACAGCTCATACAGTCGAAAAGACCCAAACCATTGTCGCATCACATAAACAAGAAGGTCATTTCGAATTAAATCATGTGATCGTTAAAAAACTTGAAATATCTTCTGAAAAATTGGTTTCTTCAATTCACTCTATTGGTGTCAGCGAACGCATCAAGTCAATTACACACGAAGCAATATGGTCTACTGCTATCACCCTTAATTATCTAAAGATTTCTGCTACACACCATGAACAAATCTGGAAGGAGAAATACGAACATGCCAATAAATGGTTAAGCACGCAAATTAAAAACGCAGAGATCGAAAAAGAAGTATTAGAAACTTCTTACAAATATATTATCGTTAGAGCAACTCAAAAAATTGTCCGTAAACAACGTGCCGCTGCTATTATTCATTTGGAATCGAAAACCACCGTAGAAACCACTCAAACAATCATTTCTTCACAAAAAACCGAAGGATACTTCACATTCAATAAAGTAATCTCGAAAAGACTTGAAGTCACTTCTTCGGAGAACTTAATTTCCTCTATCCACTCGTATGGAGTCAGTGAAGAATTAAAGAATTCAGCTCAAGCCAGCTGGTGGACAACTGCAGTGACCTTAAGCTATCTCCAATTATCTGCAGCTCGTCATGAAACTCACTGGCAAACGAGCTACGAAAAAGCAAGAAAATGGCTAAGTCTCCAAATTAACAATGCAAAATTAGAAACTGAATTAATTGAAGTCTCTAGTAAATATGTATTGGAGAAGGCCACCCATAGAGTAATTCGAAACCAAAGAAAATCTGAGAAGCAAACCTCGCTTACTTATCTTCAATCAAAAACGACCATTGAAACTACAAAATCTGTCATTTCCTCTCAGAAAGAAAATGGATCAATTGAATTGAGTAATGTGGTTTCCGAGCATCTCGAAGTATCGTCCGAGACTTTAATCACTACTGCTCAGACTTATGCAGTCAGCGAGAAGCTCAAAAAATCTACCAATGTCTCATGGTGGTCAACCGCCATTTCGCTCAGTTATCTTCAAATCACCTCCTCCTCTTATGAGGCTCATTGGAGGGAAAAATATCAGATCGCTAGAAAATATTTGAGTGAACAAATCCAAGATGTCAGATTGGAAGAGGAAATATTGAAAGCATCTTATAAATTAGTAATCGAAAAAACAACGCAGAGAGTTACCCGTAAACGCCAAATAAAAGCTAAACTGGATTCTTTAGTCTACGTTCAAAATAAAACATCTCTCGAAACAGTTCAATCTATTACTACAACGCAAAAACAAGACGGATCTTTCGGACTGAGCGAAGTGATTTCAAAGAATCTTCAAGTCTCTTCGCAATCTTTGGTATCATCCGTCAAGACTTATACTTTGAATGAGGAATTGAAAAAATCCACCCAAGTTTCTTGGTGGACAACAGCTGTGACTCTTAACTACTTAAAGATCCACGCTGTTACTCATGTAGCACACTACAAAGAGCAGTACGAGCGTGCACGTGCTTACCTTAGTGCACAAATCAAGAACGCAATTATCGAAGAAGAAATTATCCGGGCCTCCTATAAATTCGTGTCAACAAAGATTACTCGCACCGTATCGTATAAGTTGAAGCAAGAACAACATAACGCAGCGCTTATTCACTTACAATCAAAAACTACTCTGGAGGCTACTCAAAGTGTTACATCGACTCAAAAGTCTGACGGATCTTTCGAATTGAGTGAGCATCTTTCGAAGACACTTAATATTTCTTCTTCAGAAACTTTAGTTACATCTATTCGCTCGTATTCTGTAAGCGAAAGACTCAGGAAAACTGCCAAAGCATCGTGGTGGACTACTGCTGCCACTATTAGCTATCTTCAATATCACGCCTCAGCACATGAAGAACACTGGCGTGTTAAATATGAGGCCGCTCGTAAATATCTTAGTAGTGAAATTCATGATGCTCAACTTGAAGCAGAAATCTTGAAAGCTTCCGCCAAATTTGTCTTGCAGAGAAGTACTTATCAAGTGATCCGTAAACAAAGAAAGGTTGCCAAGCGTACCGCACAAATTCATATTCAATCAAAAACTACCATCGAATCCACTCAAACTATTGTCTCTTCTCAAAAATCCGATGGTTCCTTCGAATTGAGCAAGGTAATCTCTGAAAATCTCGAAGTCACCTCATCTGAAACATTAGTCACTTCGGTACAAAAATATGCATTAAGCGAGAGATTAAAGAAAACTGCCAAGGCTTCCTGGTGGACAACTGCCGTTAGCATTAGCTACCTTCAATATTATGCCTCAGTGCACGAAGAGCATTGGCGTGAAAAGTATGAGGCCGCTCGTAAATACCTTAGTCAAGAGATTAAAGATGTTAAACTCGAGGAAGAAATTCTTCGTACATCTACTAAATTTATCGTACAAAAGACCACACATAAAGTTACCCGTGCGCTAAAGAAAGAAGAAAAACGCACTGCATTGATAACTGTTCAAGAAAAGACTACGACTGAAGTCACCCAACAAGTTCTCTCAATTCAAAAACAAGATGGATCCTTTGAACTTTCTAAAGTGATCCAAAAGGAACTTGATATTTCCACTTCGCAAACTTTGTTGAGCTCTGTACAAAAATACACTTACAGCGAAAGGCTCAAGAGAACTGCCAAGGCTTCTTGGTGGACAACTGCCGTCACCATTAATTATCTTCAATATTACGCCACAGCTCATGAAGAACACTGGCGTAATAAATATGAAGCCGCCCGACAATATCTTAGCCATGAAATTCAAGATGTTAAACTCGAAGAAGAAATTCTGCGCGCATCTTCGAAATATGTTCTTCAAAAGACTACATACAAAGTTGTTCGTAAACAACAGAAAACTGCTAAACGAATCGCTTTATTGCATATTCAATCAAATACAACTTTGGATATGACAAAATCAGTTCTTTCTACCCAAAAACAAGATGGTTCATTTGCATTGCACGAAACAATCTTAAAGGAACTTGAAGTATCCTCCACGTCTTTGTTAACCTCAGTTCAAAGATACACATATAGCCAGCATTTGAAGCGATATTCACAAGAATCATGGTGGACAACTGCTATCACTATCAGCTATCTTCAGTATCATGCCTCCGCTCATGAGGAACACTGGAAAGAGAAGTACGAAGCTGCTCGTAAATATCTTAGTGAACAAATACATGACGCTAAACTCGAGGAAGCAATCATCAAAGCTTCTACAAAATTGGTAGTTGAACGATCCACCACTAAAGTTATCCGAGAGCAAAAACATGAAGATCAACGTTATGCTCTCGCCGCCATTCAGACAAAGACTACTATTGAAACAACTAAATCAGTGGTATCTTCGCAAAATACAGATGGGTCATTCAAATTGAGTCAAGTTGTCGCGCAGGATTTGAATATTTCCTCTTCGGAGACTTTGATCACATCTGTAAAGAAATATTCTGTTAGTCGAAAATTGAAGACTACCATTAAGGCTTCTTGTTGGACAACTGCAGTCACGATTGCCTACTTACAAACAACTGCCGCTGCTCAGGAGGAACACTGGAAAGAGAAATACGAATCCGCTCGCAAATATCTTAGTGCACAAATCAACGACACCAAATTAGAAGAAGAAATCTTGCAAGTCTCGAAGAGATTCGTAGTCGAAAAGACCACTTACAAGTTGGTTAGAAGACACAAGAAAACTATTAAAGAAGCTGCTAAAATTAATGTTGCATCTAATGTTTCAATAGAAACTACACAGGAAGTTATAACGGCTCAAAAAGAGGATGGTTCGTTTGAAGCTCATTCAACAATCTTGAAACACTTCAATTTCTTCTCCTCTCATACTCTGATCACCGCTGCACAGAAATATACATCCAGTGAAAAACTCAGGAAATCTGCCAAAGCTTCATGGTGGACCACTGCAATCACCATCAGTTATCTCACCACTACTGCTTCTGCTCATAAAGATCACTGGGAGGCTAAATATAACCAAGCCAGAAAATATCTTCACGAACAAATTAATGACATCAGACTAGAAGAAGAAATTCTTAAAGCTTCCAATAAATTTGTAGTCGATAAAGTTACTCATAAAGTCATCAGAGAAGAGAATGTCCATGCATCGCAAAAAATTCAGACGATCACATCGAGCGACGAGGCGAAAGCAGTTGTGTCTACTCAGAAACATGACGGGTCATTTGAATTGAGTCAAGAAGTTGCGAAAACACTCCAAGTCACTTCTACAGAAAGTTTAATCGCGTCTATTAAAGTTTATGCCAGCGAAAATCTCAAAAAAACCTCTCAAAATTCTTGGTGGACAACTGCAGTTACTATTTCATACCTTCAAAACACTGCAACAGAACATGATTCCGTATGGCAAACTAAGTATGATGAAGCTTGCAAATATTTGAAGACTCAAATTAACGATACTAAACTAGAAGAAGAAATTTTGCAAGTGTCCAATAAATATGTAGTTGAAAAAACATCTCATCAATCTCTTGTTCAAAAAGCTCAACAGTCTATTGTTACTCATAAAAATAAAGACATAACTGTCGATAGAACAACTTCTATCATTTCCTTGCAAAAGGAAGATGGTTCATTTGAACTTCATGAATCCATAACATCAGATCTTCACATTACCAAAGTTGAATCAATCATCGAATCAGTTCATGTCACCGATAAACGTGCCACTCAACTCGATATTTCCGTATGGAAGACTGCAATCACTATTGCCTATTTCCGAAATGTACTAAAACATCATGAAACTAATTGGCAAGCACAATACCAATCAGCACGTCAATATTTAAGCAAGCGTATTAATGATTCTGCTTTGGAGCAAGAAGTGATTGAAGCATCCGAAAAATATGTCGTCGAACGCGTGAGCAATAAAACAATAGAAAAAACAACAAAGGAAGATTCGGTTTTCAACAAATTGACTGGGGTTGCTAAAGTTTTAGGCGGAGGTGTTGCAATTGGTGGGGTTGTCGCTGGAATTACACACCTTGCAGATAAATATCATGAAGAAAAACAACGTACCGATACTTACATTTGGCATTCAAAATTCACTGCTGAAGAACGTCAAACTGCAATTGTTGCTTTTCAAACTTCCCATACAGCTGAAAAAACTCAATCGATTCTATCTTACCAAAAGACTGAGGGCCATTTCGAATTGAGCCAAACTGTTTCCAAGAAACTCGAAGTCTCATCCAAGACTCTTGTTTCTTCAATTCATTCGTATGGAGTAAGTGAACGCGTAAAATCCACCGTCGACGAATCAGTTTGGACAACCGCAGTCACGTTAAGTTACCTAAAAATTGCCGCTTCTCATCATGAAGCTCACTGGAAAGAACAATACGATCGTTCTTATAAATGGTTGCAACAACGAATCAACAATGCTGAAATCGAAAAAGAAGTTTTGGAAAGTTCTCAACGATTTGTTCTTGAAAAAATCACAACCAAAGTTATACACAAACAAACAAGTGCGACAGTTATTACTCTTCAAACTTCCCACACGACCGAAAAGACTCGATCAATCTTATCTTCCTATAATACCGAGGGTCATTTCGAATTGAACGAGACTATTTCAAAGAAACTTGATGTTTCCTCGGAAACTTTCGTTTCATCAATTCATTCATACGTTGTTAGCGAAAGTCTAAAAACTTCAGTAAAAGAAGCTTGCTGGAAGACTGCTGTCACTCTTAGTTATCTCAAGATTGCTGCCTCGAAACAAGAGTCGGAATGGAGAGAGAAATACGAACGCGCAAGTAAATGGTTGAGTCTTCAAATTCACGACGCTGAAATCGAAAAACAAGTTCTCGAAACGTCTTACCGATATGTCGTTGCTCGCGCCACTCAAAAGATTGTTCGTAAACAGAGGCAAACGGCAATTATTTATCTTGAATCTAAAACAACCCGTGAAACTACACAATCCATCGTCTCATCTCAAAAGACTGACGGATCATTTGAATTCCATGAAACTATCTCGAAACATCTCGACATTATGTCGTCTTCATCATTAGTAACATCAATTCATTCATATGGACTGAGCGAACGTTTGAAGACATCCGCTCAAGTTTCTTGGTGGACTACTGCTGTTACCCTCAACTATTTTAAGATTGCTGCTTCTCGTCACGAGACGGAATGGGTGAAGAAATATGAAGCTTCAAGAAAATGGTTAAGTAATCAAATTAAAGATGAAAAAGTCGAAGCGGAACTTTTAGAAATCTCCCACCGTTTTGTTCTCGAGAGGCTCAGTACTCGAGTTATCAGGAAACAAAAAGTTGTCCGAAAAAGGGAAGCTTTAACTTACCTTCAATCAAAGACTACTATCAGTACATCACAATCAATAATCTCCCAACAAAAACAAGACGGGTCATTCGAGTTAAGTCAAATAATTGCTGAACATCTTGAGGTTTCCAAAGCAACCATTGTCACATCAGCTCGATCCTATGCTGTTAGTGAAAGATTAAGGAAATCTACTGAAGTTGATTGGTGGGTTACTGCTGTTGCGATCAATTATCTTCAAATTACCTCCTCGTCCTATGAATCTCATTGGAGAGCGAAATACGAGAACGCAAGAAGATATCTTAGTACACAAATCAAAAATGTCGAATTTGAAGAAGAAATTCTCAAAGCTTCTCGTAAATTTGTCTTGGAAAAGATCACTTATAAAGTCACCTATAAGAAATCAAAGAGTGAAAAACGCCGGGCTTTAACTGCTCTTCAATCTGAAACGACAATTAATACAACTCAATCGGTCATTTCCACTCAACAACAAAATGGATCTTTCGAATTCAATCAGACGCTCTCTCAAGAGCTCGATATTTCATCCTCAGAGACTTTGGTTGCTTCTGTGCAATCATATGGTGTTAGCGAGAAGCTGAGACGATCAGCAAAAGAATCATGGTATACTACAGCCGTCACTCTCAGTTACCTCAAATTCAATGCTTCTGCACATGAGGAGCATTGGAAAGAGAAATACGAAACCGCACGTAAATATCTTCATGAACAGATAAAGGATACAAAATTAGAAGAAGAAATCTTAAAAGTTTCCTCAAAGCTTGTTGTACATCGAACTACATATAAAGTAATCCGTCGACAAAAGAAGATTGCTAAGCAAACCGCTGTCGTTGCTATTCAGTCAAAGACAACTATCGAATCAACTAAACAAGTCATTTCTGAACAAAAGACCGACGGTTCATTTGAATTCAGTGAAGTGATATCACGTGAACTTGATGTATCTTCCGAATCACTTGTTACTTCCGTCAGATCTTATGCTGTAAGCGAAAGACTCAAGAAATCAACTCAAACTGCTTGGTGGACTACTGCAGTCACGCTTAGTTATTTACAATATCACGCTTCAGCTCACGAAGAACACTGGAAAGAGCAATCCGAATCCGCTCGTAAATATCTTCACAAACAGATAAATGACACAAAATTGGAAGAAGAAATCCTCTTGGCATCTCGTAAATTCGTCGTAAAAAAGACCACTTACAATGTTGTCAAGCGACAAAAGAAGGAAGAAAAGAGAACCGCTTTACTTGCAGTTCAAACAAAGACAACTGTCGAGACTACTAAAGCTGTTCTTTCAGCACAACAAAAGGATGGTTCATTTAACTTACATCAAGAAATTGCAAAAGAATTTGATGTTTTTTCTTCTGAAACTTTGATCGCTTCAGTCAAACATTATGCATTAAGCGAGAGGTTGAGGAAATCAACTCAGACTGCTTGGTGGACTACAGCTGTCACGCTTGGCTATCTTAAATATAATGCATCAGCTCATGAAGAACACTGGAAAGAAAAATATGAAGCTGCCCGTAAATATCTTAGCATACAAATTCATGACGCTAAATTAGAAGAAGAAATTATTCAAGCCTCTTCTAAATTTGTTATTGAAAGATCAACCCATAAAGTCATCAAAGAACAAAAATCATATGAGCAGCGAGCTGCTCTTGCCGCTATTCATTCCAAGACTACCTTTGAAGTCACAAAGTCTATCATCTCGACACAAAAAACAGACGGTTCTTTCGAACTAAGTCAAGAAATTTCTAAAGAACTCGATGTCTCTTCATCTCACACTTTGGTTTCCGCAGTTAAATCATATGCTGCTAGCGAAAAACTCAAGTCAGCACACGCTTCTTGGTGGACAACTGCTATTACTATCAGTTATTTGGAGACCACAGCTGTCACCCATCAAGAACACTGGAAACAAAATTATGATTTGGCTCGTAAATATCTCAGTCAACAAATCAAAGATGTCAAATTAGAAGAGGAAATATTGCAAGCTTCTCGCAAATTCGTTGTCGAAAAAACCACTTATAAAGTACGAATAACTGAAAATATCAATCAACAACAAGCTGCACGTCTTGCAATCCAATCCCGAACCAATGTCGGTACTGTTAAACAAGTTATATCGACTCAGAAGGCGAATGGATCTTTTGAATTGCATAAAACTATCTCAAAAGTCCTTGAAGTTTCCTCTACAGATGCCCTGGTCTCTTCTGCCCGAAGATACGCAGTTAGCGAAAGGCTAAAGAATACTGCAAAAGCATCCTGGTGGACTACTGCTATCACATTAAGTTATCTGAAAACTACTTCCTTGGAAGATAGAGAATGGAAGGAAAAATATGATCGAGCTAGACAATACCTCCGAGAAGAGATTAAGGATTCTAGATTGGAAGAAGAAATTTTAGCAGCATCAAATGAATATATTCTCGCAAAAACTACGCATAAAATTGTCACCGAGCAGAAAGAAATTGCTGCTGAAACAATCAAAACGCATGTCGATATCGACAAAACTCAGAAAATCGTATCCACTCAAAAAGGTGATGGATCATTTGAATTGAGCGAAGAGATCAAAAAAGAACTCGCTATTTCTTCTTCAGCTTCTCTAGTTGCTTCTGTTCAAACTCATTCTGTCAGCGAAAAACTAAAGAAGAAGAAAGTAGATCATTCTGTCTGGATTACGGCTATTACTCTTAGTTACTTGAAAATAACTGCATCTAGTCATGAATCTGAATGGACCGAAAAATACGAGCGTGCTAAGCAATATTTAAGTGCTCAAATTGGCGATGCAGAACTCGAAAAAGAAATCTTTGAAATTACCCACAAATATGTAGTTGAGAAGGCAACACATAAATTAGTAAACGAAAAAACTAAAGAACTTATCGTGGCGGGTGCCAGCAAAGATGTTGATGTGCAAAAAGTTCAACAAATCACCGCCACTCAACGCAGTGATGGTTCATTTGAACTTCACAAGAGTATTACAGAACATCTCCAGATTGTGGAAACCGATTCCATTATCACATCTATCCAAGAATATGTTAAAGATAAGCGTGCTGCTAAACTTGATATTTCGATATGGAAGACTGCGATCACTATTGCATATTTCCAAAAGGCGCTAAAACATCATGAATCTCATTGGCGAAAACAATACCAATCAGCTCGTCAATATTTAAGTCAACGTATTAATGATTCAGTTTTGGAACAAGTAGTAATTGAAACATCTGAAAGATATGTCGTCGAACAAGTCACTAAAACTCACGTCTCCAAAACTCACAAAAGGACCGATTCTGCGGCCGACATCGCTAAACAAGATCATGCGATCGAGACAAAAAAGGATGAAGGTAAATCTTGGATATCGAAGAGTGCTGTTCTTGGAATAGCTGCAGTTACAGGAACGATTGGTGCACTTGCATGGCAGTCGAAGAAAGAGCAAGAAGAGGCTCTCGAAAAAGTCAAATCAAAAACAACTGCAGAATCGTCAAAAACCGTGGTTTCTTCGCAAAAAGAAGATGGCTCTATCGAATTAAATCATGTTATTGCCAAAGAACTAAACATTACATCTTCCGAATCTTTGGTGGCATCGATTAGCAACTACCATATCAGTGAAACATTAAAGAGATCTGCCAAAACTTCCTGGTGGACAACCTCAGTCACTCTCGCTTATCTGGAACACACTTCTTCTGCTCATGATGCCGTATGGAAGGAGCAATATCAGCGGGCAATTAATTATCTTGATACCGAAATAAAAGATCAAAAATTGAGAGAAGAAATCATTCGTGTTTCTAATCAATACTTTAGAGAAAAAGTCACTCAAAAACACGTGACCATTAATGCGATCAATTCAGAACAAGTGCAGAAACGTGTAATCGAGGAACACGCAAAAAAGACTACTGGTGATACCGTTCACACTATCGTTTCATCCCATAAAACAACCGACGGAGCATTTGAATTGAGTAATGTGATCGCCGAAGAATTTGAGATTACTTCCACTGAAAATTTGATCTCTTCTATCAACGAATATCATGAAGTTAGCGAAACTCTTAAAAAGTCATCCAAAGCTTCCTGGTGGACAACTGCTGTTACTATTGCTTATCTGAAAAATGTTGCTACTGAACACGATGCTGTTTGGAAAGTCAAATACGAAGAAGCTCGCAAATTCCTCACCACTGAAATCAATGACACTAAATTAGTGGAAGAAATCTTATTGGTGTCTGATACATATGTTAAAAAGAAGTTGACACAAAAAACAGTCGAGGAAGTTGTTCAAAAGGCACAAGAAGAACATCTTACCGTAGTCAAATCAAAGAAAGTTGGACAAGAAAAAGCAGTTAAAAAGGAGGAAAATAAACATAGTATTGTGGATAATCACTCGAAAGTTGCTGCTGGTATTGGATTAATTGCAGCTGGCGGAGCCGTGTTATGGAAACACGAACAGAAGCAAAAAGAAGCAATCGAAAAAGTTAAATCTAAGACAACTGTCGATACCACAAAAACTATTATCTCGTCACAGAAAACGGATGGCTCATTTGAATTGAGTAACGTTATATCCGAACATCTTGATGTTACTTCCACAGAAACTCTTGTGGAATCAATTCACCACTATGACATTAGCGAGAAACTCAAAAATTTGGCAGTGTCTTCATGGTGGACAACTGCAGTTACATTGGCCTATCTTAAAAAGACTTCTTGGGATCATAGCTCTCTTTGGAAATCTAAATATGATGAAGCTCGTAAATATCTTCATCGTGAAATCAATGATACGAAATTAGAAGAGGAAATTTTAAAGATTTCTGAGACTTATGTCGTGGAAAAAGTGACCCAAACAGTTACTATTGAAGAGACTGCAGTAGACAAAAAAGCTCAAAAAACAGTAATTGAAGAAGTCGCTAAAAAGACAACTGTTGATACCACCCACTCTATTGTTTCTTCTCATACATCCGAAGGCTCCTTCGAGTTGAGCCAAGAGATCTCGAAACGCCTTAATGTTTCTTCATCTGAAACTCTAGTTTCTTCTATTTATCAACATCATCAAGTAAGCGAGACTCTTAAAAAGACCTCCAAGACTTCCTGGTGGACAACAGCCGTCACTATCTCATATCTTCAACATGTTGCTACAGCTCATGACTCAGTATGGAAAACCAAATATGATGAAGCTCGCAAATATCTCACTACTCAAATTAACGACGCTAAATTAGAAGAAGAAATCTTGCAAGTTTCGAATAAATATGTCGTCGAAAAAGTCACTAAAACTGCTATTTCACATACCGCAAAAACAGTTCATAAAGAGCATTTGGAAGAAGAAAAGAAAGAAAAGAAAGGTTATTTCTCTTTGGAGAACGTTTCTAAAGCTGCTGCCGGTCTTGGTTTAGTAGCTGCAGTTGGTGGCGCCGCTTTTTGGAAACATGAACAGAAACAAAAAGAAGCCATAAAACAAGTTAGAGAAAAAACTACTGTCGATACTATAAAATCCATTGTTTCCTCTCAGAAGGCGGACGGTTCCTTTGAATTAAATCAAGTCGTTTCCAAGAAACTCAACGTTTCTTCTTCTGAATCCCTTGTTGAATCGATTCGTCATTACGATGTCAGTGAGAAACTTAAAAAATCCGCTAAAACTTCGTGGTGGACAACTGCAGTTACTATTTCCTATCTCAAACAAACATCAGTGCATACAGCAGAATGGCAAGCGCAATACGAAGCTGCACACAAATATCTTCGCCAAGAAATCAATGACTCTCAATTAGAAGAGGAAATTCTCAAGATTTCCGAAACATATGTAGTCGAAAAAGTAACACAGAAATTTATTGTTAAAGAAACCGCCGTATCAAAAGAAGCTCAAAAAGCAGTCATCGAAAATCTCTCCTCGAAAACAAAAGTTGAAGATACTCAAACCATAATTTCCTCCCAGAAAACCGATGGATCTTTTGAATTAAGCAGCGTTATGTTGAAGGATCTTAATGTTTCTTCTTCTGAAACTTTAATTGCTTCGATCCAAAAACAAAAAATTAGCGAATCTCTTAAAAAATCGGCCAAATCAGATTGGTGGATAACTGCTCTCACTATTGCTTACCTTCAAAACACAGCTTCCACTCATGACGCCATATGGAAAGCTAAATATGATCAAGCTCTACAATATCTAAGGAAGCAAATTAATGATAAGAAATTAGAAGATGAAATTTTACATGTCTCTAACGAATTCGTAGTTAAGAAAATCACCAAAAAAGTTGTTACTGAGACTGCTGTCGAAGTTCACCAAGAACAGCAAACCGAAGAAAAGAAGAATAGCATATTCAATTTGTCTAATCTAGCTAAGACTGGTGTTGGCCTTGGTTTAGCTATTGGTGGATTTGCTCTCTGGAAGTCTCACGATAAACAAGAGGCTGCCATTAATGAAATCAAATCACAAACTACAGAAAATACTACGAAAGTCATTACCTCTTATCAAAAGACTGATGGATCCTTCGAACTTGGTAAAGAGATATCCGAAAAACTCGATATCTCGTCATCTGAGACATTAGTCAGCTCTATTTACACATACGAAGTTAGCGACCATTTGAAACAAAATGCTAAAAGTTCATGGTGGACAACTGCAGTAACTATTTCCTATTTGAAACAAACTGCATCTCATCACGAATTTCAGTGGAAGCTTAAATATGAAGAAGCTCTTAGATACTTACACCAACAAATCAATGATGTAAAATTAGAAGAAGAAATCCTCAAAGTTTCCGAGACCTATGTTGTAGAACGCGTCACTCAAAAAGTAGTAATCAAAGAAGCAGTAAAAAACAAAGAGACACAGAAAACTGTATTGGAAGAAATCAAGAAAAAGACTACTATTGATACCACTAAAACAATTGTTTCTTCCCAGCATTCAAACGGATCCTTCGAATTTAATAAAGTAATTTCCCAGCATCTCGATGTTTCCTCATCCGAAACATTAGTCACCTCTATTACATCTAATCATCAAGTAAGCGAGAAACTACAGAAATCATCAAAGACCTCGTGGTGGACAACGGCAATCACTATCGCGTATTTACAGAATACCGCTACCGCTCATAATGACGTATGGCAAGCACAATATAAGCGAGCACGCGAATATCTTAGCAAAGAAATTAACGATACTCATCTTGAAGAAGAAATTTTGAAAGTAACTGATTCATACGTTGTGGAAAAAGTCACTCACAAGGCTATTTCGCATACAACAGTTAAGGTTCACGAGGATACGGTAAAAGAGCAAAAGAAACAAAAAGAAAGCGTACTGAATCTTACAAACGTTGCTGCAAGCGTTGCAGGTCTTGGAATTGCGGCGGCTGGTGGACTCGCTATATGGAAACATCGGGACCAGCAAAAAGTTGCTTTATCCGAAGTTCAAGAGAATACAACCATCGAAAAAACTAATACGATCATCTCATCTCATAAAGAAGACGGTTCATTCGAATTGAGCAAAGAAATAACCGATCAGCTTGAAATTTCTTCTGCAGAAAGTTTGGTTGCGTCAATTCAGCATCATCAATTTAGTGAGCGTCTCAGAAAGTCCGCAAAGAACTCCTGGTGGGTTACTGCCGTTACACTTGCATACCTTAAAAATACATCTTCCGCACACGAATCTCAATGGAGAGTTAAATATGAGGAAGCGCGTAAATATCTCTCTACACAAATCAATGATACACAATTGGAAGAAGAAATATTAAAGGTATCAGAAACATATGTGGTAGAAAAAATAACTCAGAAAGTTGTGATCCAAAAAGCAGCGAAATCGGAAACAACACAACAAGCTGTAATACAAGAAATTGCTAATAAGACAACCGTGGATACCGCTCATTCTATTGTTTCTACTCATACATCCAAGGGTTCTTTCGAGTTAAGTCAAGAGATCTCGAAACATCTTGATGTTTCTTCATCTGAAACTTTAGTTACTTCAATCTACGAACGCCATCAAGTCAGTGAAACTCTAAAGAAGACCGCAAAGTCTTCCTGGTGGACGACAGCGATTACTCTTGCATACCTTCAAAACGCCGTTAAAGAACATGATGCGGTTTGGAAATCTAAATACGAAACATCTTGCAAATATCTCCACACTGAAATCAACGATGTTAAATTAGAAGAAGAAATTTTACAAGTGTCTAATACTTACGTGGTCGAAAAGCTTACTCACAAAGCTATTACACATACAGCCACCCAAGTTCAAAAAGAGCAATTATCAGAAAAAAAGAAAACCAATTATTTCTCCTTAGAGAATGTGTCAAAAGCTGCAGCTGGTCTCGGATTATTAGCCACAGCAGCTGGAGGCCTGGCACTATGGAAACACGAAGAGAAACAAAAGGAAGCCTTAAAACAAGCCAAATCAAAGACTACAGTCGAAACTACCAAATCTGTTGTTTCTTCTCAAAAATCTGATGGCTCTTTTGAACTGAATAAAGTAGTCGCTGAAGATCTAGATATTACTTCCTCTGAATCCCTTGTTGAATCGATCCATCACTACGATGTTAGTGTGGAACTTAAAAAAACCGCTAAGACTTCATGGTGGACAACTGCAGTTACTCTCGCGTATCTCAAACAAACCTCAGTACATACAGCAGAATGGCAAACACAATACGAAATTGCACGAAAATATCTTCGCCAAGAAGTTAATAATTCGCAATTAGAAGAAGAAATTCTCAAGATTTCCGAAACATATGTCGTAGAAAAAGCGACTCAAAAATTTGTTATTAAAGAGACGTCGAAATCAACAGAAGCCCAAAAAGCAGTAATTAAAGAAATAGCATCCAAGACCACTGAAGAAACCACTCAAACGATAACTTCTGCGCAAAAAACTGACGGATCTTTTGAATTAACCAAAGAAGTATCGGAAATACTAGATGTTTCTTCTTCTGAAACTTTGGTAGCTTCAATTCAGGAACATCATATTAGTGAGAAACTCAAAAAATCGGCCAAGTCTTCATGGTGGACAACTGCAGTTACGATTTCTTATCTTAAGAATTTATCAACTCACGATGCCATATGGAAATCTAAATATGAACAAGCGCGTGAATATCTTAGAAGGGAAATCAATAATATCGCTTTAGAAGAGGAAATTTTAAAGGTTTCAGATGAATACGTCGTTGAAAGAACTACCCAAAAAACTATCTCCAAGACTGTTACTGGAGTTCATAAAGAACAGCTCGAAAAAGAAAAGAAAGAAAGCTTTTTCAATCTTTCCAACATTGCGAAATCTACTATCAGCCTAGGACTAGCTACCGTAGGCGGAGTCGCCCTCTGGAAATCCTATGATAAACAAAAAGATGTTATCAGCGAAGTTCAATCTAAAACAACAATCGAAACCACTAAAACTATCACCTCATCTCAAAAATCAGACGGATCCTTTGAACTTAGTAAAGTAGTATCTGAACAGTTGGATATATCATCATCGGAAACCTTAGTATCTTCTATTCATAAATACGAACTCAGTGAACGCCTAAAACGAACTGGACGCGTCTCATGGTGGACAACTGCGGTCACTATTTCCTATCTTAAACAGGCTGCATCTCACCACGAATCTCAATGGAAACTTAATTATGAAGAAGCCCGTAAATATCTTCATCAACAAATTAATGATACACAATTAGAAGAAGAAATCCTTAAGATTTCTGATACTTATGTCGTGGAACGTGTTACGCGTAAAGTAGTTGTCAATCAGGCTGTAAAATCTAAAGAAACACAACAAACCGTATTAGAGGAAATAAGCAAAAAGACAACCGTTGATACCACTCAAATTATTATTTCTTCACAACAATCCGATGGTTCATTTGAATTGAACAAAGTGATCTCGGATCATCTTGACGTTTCTTCTTCTGAAACATTGATTGCCTCTATCCATACCAAGCATCAAATAAGCGAGAAACTTGTGCAATCCGCAAAGTCCTCATGGTGGACAACTGCTCTTACCATTGCATATCTACAAAACACCGCCACTCCTCATAATGCCGTGTGGAAAGATCAGTATCATAAAGCCCGTGAATATTTGACCAAAGAAATTGCTGATTCTAAACTCGAAGAGGAAATATTGCGAGTAACCAATACTTATGTCGTCGAGAAAGTTACCCACAAAGCCATATATCAAACTGAGGCCAAGATTCAAGAAGAACAGCACACCGAGACGCAAAAGCATAGTATATTTAATCTATCTAACTTGGCAAAAACAACTGTTGGTCTAGGACTAACAGCAGTTGGTGGTTTAGCTCTCTGGAAATCGCATGAAAAACAAACAGATGCTATTAAAGAAGTTCAGTCCAAGACCTCAGTTGAAACGGTAACTACAATCCTCTCCTCTCAAAAACAAGATGGATCATTTGAACTAAATAAAGTTATATCCGAAAATTTGGAAATATCCTCTTCCGAAACCTTGGTTGCTTCGATTCATAAACACGAAATTAGCAAAGAACTTGGATCTGCTAAGTCTTCCTGGTGGGTTACGGCTGTTACCATAGGCTATCTAAAACAAACCTCGTCTCATCATGAAGAACACTGGAAAGTTAAATATGAGGAAGCCCGCAAATATCTTCATCAACAAATCAATAATTCGAAATTAGAAGAAGAAATTCTCAAGGTCTCCGAGACATATGTAGTTGAACGAGTCACTCAAAAAGTAGTCGTCAGTCAAGCAGCTAAATCAGAACAAACACAAAAGACTGTATTAGAAGAAATAAGTAAAAAGACCACTATTGATACAGCTCAAACTATCATTTCGTCTCAACATTCGGACGGATCCTTTGAACTAAATAAAGTAATCTCTCAACATCTTGACGTATCCTCATCCGAAACATTGATTACCTCCATTATATCATCTCATCAAGCAAGCGAAAAACTCTGCAAAACAGCCAAGACCTCGTGGTGGATAACTGCAGTCACTATTGCATACTTGCACAACACCGCCACTCCTCATAATGCCGTTTGGAAAGCACAGTATCATCAAGCTCGCAAATACCTTACCGAAGAAATCAAAGATGCTCAACTCGAATCAGAAATTTTGCGAATTACAAATACTTATGTTGTCGAAAAGATCACTCATAAAGCCATCTCTCATACAGCAGTTAAGATTCATGAAGAACATCTACATGAGGAAGTTAAAAAGAAAGAAGAAAAACAAAAAGAAAGCATTTTCAGTTTATCTAATATTACGAAAACTGCTGTCGGTCTTGGCTTAGCGATTGGAGGTGTTGCTCTCTGGAAATCACATGAAAAACAAAAGGAAGCTCTTACCGAAATTCAATCAAAGACTACCGTAGAAACTACACAAACAATTATCTCGTCTCAACGAAAAGATGGATCTTTCGAGTTGAGCAGTGTAGTATCGGAGCATCTGGATGTATCATCTTCGGAGACTTTAGTCGCGTCTATTAACCAGCGTGAATATAGTGAAAAACTCCGCAAAACAGCCAAGACTTCGTGGTGGACAACTGCAGTGACCCTCGCCTTCTTAAAACAAACCTCTTCTGCTCATGCATCTCATTGGAAAGTGAAATACGATGAAGCCCGAAAATATCTTAGTCAACAAATCAATGACGCAGCATTAGAGGATGAAATATTAAAAGTATCTGAGGAATTTGTAGTTGAAAAAGTAACAGAAACATCCGTTGTTCATCAAGCCGCCAAATCAGAAGAAACACAAAAAACTGTACTAGAAGAAATTAAGAAAAAGACGACTGTCAATACTGCACAAGTAATAATTTCTTCTCAACATTCGGATGGCTCTTTCGAATTAAATAAAGTAATTTCTCGGCATCTCGACGTATCCTCGTCCCAATCATTGGTTACCTCGATTAAAACTAAACATCAAGTTAGCGATAAACTCGTTCAAACTTCCAAGACTCAGTGGTGGACAACTGCTCTTACTATCGCATATCTACAAAACACTGCTTCTTCTCATAATGCCGTGTGGAAAGATCAGTATCATAAAGCCCGTGAATATTTGACCAAAGAAATTAATGATTCTAAACTCGAAGAGGAAATATTGCGAGTAACCAATACTTATGTAGTTCATAAAGTTACCCAAAAAGCTATCTCTCACACTGTAACCCAGGTTCACGAAGAAGACAAGCAAGAAAAGGAGAAGAAAGAAAAAGAAAGTTTATTATCTTTCGACAGTATTACTAAAGCAGCAACAAATCTTGGTTTATCGATTGGTGGAATAGTTCCTTGGAAATCGCGTGATAAGCAAAACTCAGCTCTTACTCAAATTCAATCAAACACCACGGTCGAAACTACGCAAACCATTATCTCTTCACAAAAATCCGATGGCTCATTTGAACTAAGCAATGTTGTATCAGAACATCTCGATGTTTCTTCATCGGAAACTTTGGTTACTTCTATCCATAAACACGAAGTTAGCGAAGCCTTAAAGACAAAAGCAAAGACATCCTGGTGGACTACTGCGGTCACTCTTGCCTATCTTAAACAGATCGCATCGCATCACGAAGAACACTGGAAAGTTAAATATGAAGAAGCTCGTAGCTATCTTCATGAACAAATTAATGACAAACATTTAGAAGAAGAAATATTAAAAGTTTCAGAAACATATGTTGTTGAAAAAGTAACTCAAAAAGTTGTTACTAAAGAAACTGCGAAATCAGAAGAAACACAAAAAATCGTTATTCAAGAGATTGCTAAAAAGACTACTGTTGATACTATTCAATCAATTGTCTCTTCACAACAATCTAATGGTTCATTTGAATTTAACAAAGTAATAGCTGACCGTCTTAATGTATCTTCATCCGAAACATTGGTCGCTAATATTCAGAAACATGGTGTTAGCGAGTCTTTGAAATCAGCAAAATCTTCCTGGTGGATAACTGCCGTTACTGTCGCTTATCTCAAAAATACAGCCACTATTAACGATTTTGTTTGGCGGTCTAAATACGAAGAAGCTCGAAAATATCTTCACCAAGAAATTAATAATGAGAAATTGGAAGAAGAAATTTTGCAGGTTTCAAATAATTATGTTGTCCAAAAGGTGACCGAAACGACTATCTCAAATACTGCGGTTAAGTTAGATGAGCATCATTTGGTTGAACAAAAGAAAGAGAAAGAAAGCTTATTATCATTTGAAAATATTTATAAAGCCGCTACTGGACTTGGTTTGGTTATCGGTGGTATTGCCATTTGGAAAACACATGATAAACAAAAAGAAGCTCTAACTGAAATTCAGTCAAAACAAACAATCAGTACTACTCAATCAATCATTTCATCGCAGAAAAAAGACGGGTCATTTGAACTCAGCAAAGTTATCTCTGACCATTTGGAAATCTCCTCTTCTGAAACGCTCGTAGAATCTATTCATCATTACGAGGTAAGCGAGAAACTTCGAAAATCCGCTAAGTCTTCCTGGTGGGTTACGGCTGTTACCATAGGCTATCTAAAACAAACCTCGTCTCAGCATGAAGAACACTGGAAAGTTAAATATGAGGAAGCCCGTAAATATCTTCATCAACAAATCAATGATACGAAATTGGAAGAAGAAATCCTCAAGGTCTCCGAGACATATGTGGTTGAACGAGTCACCCAAAAAGTAGTCATCAGTCGAGCAGCTAAATCAGAACAAACACAAAAAACTGTAATTCAAGAAATCGCTAAAAAGACTACAGTTAATACCGTTCAAAATATTGTTTCCTCTCAATATTCTGACGGATCCTTCACACTGAGTAAAGAAATTTCGGAGCATTTTGACGTATCCTCTTCCGAAACATTAGTTACTTCGATCAAAAGCAAACACCAAGTGAGCGAAAAACTCCTCAAATCTTCCAAGTCTTCGTGGTGGACAACTGCTCTCACTATTGCATACCTACAAAATACCGCATCTCATCATAATGCCGTCTGGCAAGCACATTATCACAGAGCCCGTGAATATCTAAAGAAAGAAATCAACGATGCTTATCTTGAAGAGGAAATCTTGCGAGTTTCTAATACATATGCAACTGAAGAGATTACTCGCAAGGCTATCTCTAAGACTGCTGTTAAAGTGGTTGTCGAAGAGAAGAAAGAAACCGAAAAGAAAGAAAAAGAGAGCTTTTTCAACTTATCCAACCTTGCTAAGAGCGCAAGTCATGGCCTTGGATTAACCTCAGGTGGATTTGCTCTATGGAAATCTCAAGACAAACAAAAAGAAGCTCTTGAACAGTCAACAATTACTAAAGAAACTACACAATCCATTATTTCATCTCAACGAAAAGACGGATCATTCGAATTAAGCAAAGTAGTTTCGCAGCAACTGGATGTATCGTCATCTGAAACTTTGGTTTCATCAGTTAGTAATTATGAAATTAGTGAAAAACTTAAAAAGACCGCCAAATCTTCATGGTGGACAACAGCAGTTACTCTCGCGTACCTTAAACAAACAGCACACTCTCATAAAGAAGAATGGCAACTCAAATATGACGAAGCCCTTAAATATTTGAGAACCGAAATCAATGATTCACAATTAGAGGAGGAAATTCTTAAGGTTTCCGAAACTTATGTAGTGGAACAAGTTACTCGAAAAGTAGTTGTCAAAGAAGCTACTAAATCTCAGGATACTCAAAAGGCTGTAATTGAACAAGTCCGATCAAAGACAAAAGTAGATACAGCTGAAGTAATCATCTCCTCTCAAAGAACCGATGGCTCATTCGGATTAAACGAAGTTATATCGGAACACCTTGATGTATCTTCATCGGAAACTTTGGTTGCCTCAATTCATAAATATCAAGTTAGTGAAAAACTCAAGAAATCTGCCAAATCTTCCTGGTGGACAACTGCTATCACTATTGCATATCTTCAAAACACTGCAACTTCTCATCACTCTGTATGGAAAACTCAATACGAGCAAGCTCGAAGGTATCTAAGCGCTGAAATCAAGGATACACAATTAGAAAAAGAAATCCTTGAAGTCTCCAATACATACGTAGTCGAAAAGATTACTCACAAAGCAGTGTCCCAGACATCAGTTCAAGTTCATCAAGAGCATCATGAAGAAGAAAAGAAGGATAGCATATTCAACTTGTCAAACATCGCAAATGCCGGTGCCGGTCTTGCTCTAGCTATTGGTGGATTTGCTCTCTGGAAATCTAACGAAAAACAAAAGGACGCAATTAATCAGATTAAATCTAAGACTAATGCGAGCACTGCACAATCAATCGTCTCTCATCAAAAATTAGATGGATCTTTCGAGTTGAGTAAGGTCATTTCCGAGGATTTGGATATCTCTTCTTCGCAAACCTTAGTTGCTTCTATATACAAATATGAATTTAGCGAGCAACTTAGAACTAAATCCCAATCGTCTTGGTGGACAACTGCCGTCACGCTCGCATACCTTAAACAAACATCCACAGCTCACGAAGAACACTGGAGAACAAAATACGAGGAAGCCCGCAAATACCTACACCATCAAATCAATGATGTCCACTTAGAAGAGGAAATTTTGAAGGTATCCGAAACTTTCGTTGTGGAACGTATAACTCAGAAAGTAGTTGTTCACGAAGCTTCGAAATCAGAAGAAACACAAAAAACGGTAATTGAAGAGGTCGCTAAAAAGACAACTGTGAATACTACCGAAGCTGTCGTTTCATCTCATAAAACCGACGGTTCATTCGAACTAAGTCAAGAAGTATCGAAGCATCTTGGAGTTTCTTCATCTGAAACTCTAGTTTCTTCTATTTATCAACATCATCAAGTAAGCGAGACTCTTAAAAAGACTTCCAAGACTTCCTGGTGGACAACAGCTGTCACTATCTCATATCTTCAACATGTTGCTACAGCTCATGACTCAGTATGGAAAACCAAATATGATGAAGCTCGCAAATATCTCACTACTCAAATTAACGACGCTAAATTAGAAGAAGAAATCTTGCAAATTTCGAATAAATATGTCGTCGAAAAAGTCACTAAAACTGCTATTTCACATACTGCTGTTAAAGTTAATGAAGAGCATATTCAGGAACAAAAGAAAGACTCTATCTTCGATATATCAAAGGTCGCAAAGACAGCTGTTGCTGGCCTCGGATTAATAGGTGGAATCGCTTTCTGGAAACAGGAAGACAAACAAAAGGAAGCATTGACAGAAATACAAAAGGAAACAACAATCGATACTATAAACACAGTTATCTCAACACAACAATCGAATGGATCTTTCGAATTAAGTGAAGTGCTCTCTGAACATCTGGATGTTTCTTCGTCTGAAACTTTAGTTTCCTCTATTCAACATCAAGAATTTAGCGAGAAACTTCGAAAATCCGCAAAGACCTCTTGGTGGACAACTGCCGTTACTCTTGCCTACCTTAAGCAGACTTCAACTCACCATGAAGAACACTGGAAAGTTAAACACGAAGAAGCTCGTAAATATCTTCATCAACAAATTAACGACACCCAACTAGAAGAAGAAATCCTCAAGGTTTCCGAGACCTATGTTGCCGAAAGAATTACTCGTAAAGTAGTGGTAAATAAAGTAGTTAAATCTAAAGAAACGCAAAATACCGTATTAGAAGCAATCAAGAAAACGAGTTCTAATTCTACCGCTCAAACTATTTTCTCTTCGCAACATTCGGATGGTTCTTTCGAATTGAATAAATTAGTCTCTCAGCATCTTGAAATATCCTCATCCGAAGCATTGATTACCTCTATCAAGACCAAGCATCAAGTTAGTGATAATCTCGTGCAAAAGGCCAAGTCTCAGTGGTGGATAACTGCTCTTACTATCGCATATCTACAAAATACCGCCACTCCTCATAATGCCGAATGGAAAGATCAGTATCATAAAGCCCGTGAATATTTGACCAAAGCAATTAATGATACTAAACTTGAAGAAGAAATCTTGCGAGTAACCAATACTTATGTCATCGAGAAAGTTACCCACAAAGCCATATATCAAACTATGATTAAAGTCCATAATGAACAAGAGAAAGATAAGAAAAGTCTTTTCAACGTATCCGACATTACGAAAGCGGCGTCTGGCCTTGGATTAGCATTGGGCGGACTTGCTCTCTGGAAATCTCGAGACAAGCAAGAAGCAGCTCTTACAGAAGTCAAATCACAAACTACTGTTGACACTACGCAATCGATTATCTCAACTCAACAAACAGATGGTTCTTTCACATTGAGTAAAGAAATTTCCGAACACCTCGATATTTCATCATCTGAAACTTTGATTACTGCTATTTATAATTATCAAATAAGCGAGAAACTCAGAAAATCCGCAAAGACCTCTTGGTGGACAACTGCAGTCACTCTCTCCTATCTTAAACATGTATCTTCCGCTCACGAGGTACACTGGAAATCTAAGTACGAAGAGGCTCGTAAATATCTAAGCCTTCAAGTTCAAGATACTAAATTGGAAGAAGAAATTTTAAAGGTTTCCGAGACCTATGTAATTGAAAGAATTACCCGTAAAGTAGTCGTCCGTCAGGCCGCAAGTTCTCAAGATACACAAAAGAACGTAATTAAAGCAGTCGCCGACAAAACTACCGTCGATACTGCTCAAACCATCATTACTCATCAACAAACCAATGGCGCTTTCGAATTAAGTAAAGAAGTATCCGAGTCTCTTGGTGTCTCCTCCTCTGAATCTTTAGTTACCTCCATACATAAACATCAAATTAGCGACAGGTTAAGAAGATCTGCTAAAACTTCCTGGTGGACTACCGCAGTTACACTCGCGTACTTGAAAACCACGGCTACTGCTCATGATTCGGTTTGGAAAGCTAAATGTGAACAGGCGCGTCAATATCTTCGACAAGAAATTAACGATGCCACGTTAGAAGAAGAAATATTACAGGTGTCCGAAAAATATGTAGTTCTAACGGTGACCGAAACTGCTGTTTCTCATACTGCTGTCGCAGTCCATCAAGAACATCTCGAAGAGGAAAAGAAAGAAAAAGAGAAGGACAGCATCTTTAATCTATCGAATATTACTAAAGGAGTCGCCGGTATTGGCCTAGCAATCGGAGGTGTTGCTCTCTGGAAATCTCATGAAAAACAGAAAGAAGCAATCACCAAGGCTCAATCAGATACTACAATTGAAAAGACAAATACTATTATCTCGACTCAACAAACAGATGGCTCCTTCCAGCTCAGTCAGGAAATATCCAAACATCTTGAAGTTTCCACTTCTGAAACATTAGTCGCCTCGATCTCTAAATATGATATTAGCGAAACCTTAAAGACAAAAGCAAAGACATCCTGGTGGATAACTGCAGTCACTCTCGCCTATCTCAAGAATATTTCCTCCGCCCACGAACAACACTGGAAAGTCAAATATGAAGAAGCTCGTAAATATCTTCATCAACAAATCAACGATACAAAATTGGAAGAAGAAATTCTTAAAGTTTCCGAGACTTACGTAGTAGAAAGGGTTACTCGTAAAGTAATAGTTAACGATGCGGTGAAATCCGAAGACACACAAAAAACTGTAATTCAAGAGGTATCGAAGAAAACTACAATTACAACTACCGAAACGATTGTCTCGTCGCAAAAAACCAACGGTTCCTTCGAATTAAATAAAGTAATTTCCGATCATCTTGGCGTTTCTTCTTCTGAAACTTTGGTTTCCTCAATTCATAAATATAAAGTCAGTGAAACTCTCAAGAAATCCGCCAAGCATTCCTGGTGGACAACAGCAGTTACAATCTCATATCTCAAAAACACAGCATCGACCCATGAGCACATTTGGAAAGAGAAGTATGAAGCAGCTCGTAAATACCTTAGCAGTGAAATCAAAAATGCTGAATTAGAAGAAGAAATCTTGCGGGTCTCCGACACTTATGTAGTCGAAACAATTACCCAAAAAGCTGTCAATGAAACTGCGACTAAAGTTCATGAAGAAACAACCCTAAAAGAAAAAGGATCATCTTTTGTATCTAAAATAGCCCTAGGAATTACCAAAGCCGCTACCGATGCCAAGGATGCAGCTACCAAAGTTGCGGAGGGAACTATTTCTACAATTTCCAACACCGGCGAAGCTATTCAACAACAAGCACAGACAGTTGCCAAAGAAATAGGACAAACTACTGTTTCAATCAAAGATAATATCATACATACAAGTGCAGGCGGAAGTACACAAGTACATGTTGATACTCCATCAGTTGTGAAAACTACGGTTCACCCAGTAGCCAACAAACCACAACAAGAAGTTAAAGTAGAAGTTAAAGTAGTGAAAGAAGAAGAAAAGAAAAGCTCCATATTGGAAAAAGCTACTGCTGGACTTGCTGGACTTGCTGGAATCGGAGTTGCTGCCAGTGGTGTTGCTCTTTGGCATTACAACAAGAAACAAAAAGAAACCCTCTCAGAAATCCAAGCCACAACTACAGTCGATACTACTCAAAAGGTCATTAGTTCTCAACGAACCGACGGATCCTTTGAACTAAATCACGTTATAGCCGAACAAATTGATATTTCTTCCACGGAAACATTAGTCGCCTCGATCCATGAATCTCATCAATTTAGCGAGAGACTTCGAGCATCATCCAGAACTTCTTGGTGGTCCACTGCCGTTACTCTTGCTTACCTTAAACACGTTGCCTCAGGTCATGAAGAGCATTGGCGTGAAAAGTATGAACGTGCCCGAAAATATCTTCACACTGAAATTAATGATGTTCAATTAGAAGAAGAAGTTATTCAAGTTTCCGAAAAATATGTCATCGAAAGAACTACCCGAAAGAAGATTATAATTGAAGCTGCCAAGGAGAAAGATACACAAAGAAAAGTAATTGAAGAGGTTGCTAAACATACATCGACTGAAGATACCCAAAATATCATCTCATCTCATCAAACCGACGGTTCCTTCGAACTTACTCAAGAACTATCAAAGACCCTCGATATTTCTTCCTCTGAAACTTTAATTTCGTCCATTCATCAGCATTCTCAAATCAGTGAAAACCTTAAGAAATCCGCGAAGACTTCCTGGTGGATAACTGCGATTACTATCGCATACCTTCAAAATATTTCTACAGCTCATGATTCTGTATGGAAAGAAAAATATGAAAAAGCACACAAGTATCTTAGCACTCAAATTAATGATACTAAATTGGAAGAGGAAATCTTGCAGGTCTCCAATACATACGTAGTCGAAAGAATCACCCATAAAACTATTTCTCATAACACAGTCGCCCATAAAGATAAAGTCCGTAAAATCTATTCTCACGAAGAACAAATGGTAATTTTAGCTCAACTCCAAAAGGAATTTCCTGTTGACTTAGCTCGTGAAATAGTCTCTGGACAAAAAGAAGACGGTTCTTTTGAACTTAGTGGTTCTGTCTCTCAAACAATTGATATCCAGGATGAAACTTTGACCGACTCGATTGAAGTGTACGAAGTCAGTGAGAAACTTAAACAAGCTGCCAAGCCAACTTGGTGGAAAACGGCAATCACCCTTGCCTTCCTAAAGAACACGGCCGTTGCTCACGATTCCGTATGGAAATCTCAATATGAACAAGCTCGTAAATATCTCAGGAACGAAATTCAAGACGAAAGATTGGAAGAAGAAATCCTTCAGATTTCCGACAAATTAGTCATTGAAAGAGTCACTTCAAACACACGTCAAGTTCAAGTTCATACTACAATACTCGATTCCGAACTCCTTGTTGTTGGCGCATCTTATGAAGCTCTCCGTAAATATCGGTGCAGCCGCTCTAAAACTACTATAGTTAAACCACATGATCCTATCGAAGCTCATAAACAAGTTGAAAAGACTGCTAGGGAAGAAATCGATCGCATATTCACAAGCAAAAATATTGTTGGTGATAATGAAGAACTTAAGAGGCGTGCAGTTGTTGCCGCTCGTTTCCTTATCGATGAATATTACAAAGATAACGATTGTAACTGTTAGTTATTTATTTAGTTCGTTAACACCTTTTCAAACTTTGTTGTCCCCTTTAAATCCCCTTTTTAAAAAGAAAAATTATAATTGATAAAATCATATTTAAATAGATAAATTTTCATTTCGATTTCTCAAAATGTATACTTATTATTTTTATAATTGAATATTAATGAAAATCATTAAATTAAATTTTTATAATTGAATATTAATAAAAATCATTAAATTAAATATTTAAAGAAATTGCAGATGTGATCGAGTTGTTGACAATGTTAACGTTCAGTTTGTATCTCGATAATAATATATTTTATGAGCGAATCAGTATTAGGGGCATGACATATATGAGCTCATTATGAGTTACTATAAGACTGACCCCTCCCCCTGCTGATTTAATCACATGATATTATATCACGTGGCCTAAATATATAGCATATTATATAAGGAAGACATGGATATTAAAATTTCGATGTAAATTGGCAAACGATTTGGTATACAGTGACTTTCAGGCGTAATATCTAAACACCTAGCGGTCAGAATCGTACCAAAATAATACCATTTGATTTGCCTAGTTATGGCGAATCGAATGGTGTTATTTTGGTACGATTCTGACCACTAGGTGTCGAGATATCGCACCCAAAATTTACCGTATGTTAAAACTTCGATGTAAATCGGCGAACGATTTGGCGTTCGGTGACTTTCAGACGTGATATCTCCACACCTAATGATCAGAATCGCACCAAAATAATACCATTCGATTCGCATAGTCATAGTAAATCGAATGATATTATTTTGGTGCGATTCTGACCACTAGATGTCGAGGTATCGCATAGTTTTTCTGACTGTTATAATTCTCATATGTATCAAAATACCTTCTTATGTAATATTTTATTGGTTAATTCTTTATGTCACATGAGAGATGAGATATCTATATATCTTTCTTCTACCCCCCCCCCCCCCTTATAATGAACTCATATATGTCATGCCCCTTATCATCTCTTCAGTCAAGAATAGATATCTCACATTTATAATGTAATTGTCAAGAATATTTATTGATTTATTGAATTTATGACTGCAATGTTAAACTGATTGTTCTAGTTTCTTGAGGGTTGGATATATGTGATTATATGTATAAAGAGTAATATAATAAACAAATTTGGTATTAATGATATTGAGAATGGCAAAGAAGCTAAAGATTATGATGGTTTGAACTTAAATTATTCGCACAATATTTAAGTTCGGTGTGAAAAATAATTGACTTGATATTCTTTATTTCCCAATCATTAAAATAGAAGTCCACATTAATTTTTGAAATTAAAGTTTCGGGATTTAAGGTCAAAGATTGCTGATACTTACAAGTCCAGACTAATGCGTATTACATAGAAATTTTACGTCATTCATCCAATTTTTATATGTTATATCTGCAGTATTTCCCGAGCCTGTTCCCGAAGAGCATACTTGATAACTTTTCCGGTCGTTGTTTTGGAAAACTCCTCTGCGAATATTACATATTTGGGTATTTTGTATTCTGGTAGTTTGTTCTTGCAAAACTGCCGAATCTCTTCAGCACTAACAATCTTGCCGTATTTTGAAATTACCCAAGCACACACCTCTTCACCAAGTACCATATCAGGCACACCCACCACCGATACGACCATAACAGAAGGGTGTTGGAATATAATGTTTTCCACCTCGGCGGGTGATACTCTTTCACTGCCACGGTGAATTTGGTCTATAGAATCGATCAATCAATCAATGGTTATAAAAGAGCTTGACAATGAACGCTTCGAATTACCTTTTATACGACCAAAAATACTACAATATCCGTTTTGATCAAATTTACCAAGGTCATCTATTAAAATATAAGATAGATAAAAAAATAAAACCAACAGTAATATAAATGCCTGATTTCGGCTTGCCTGTATGAATCCATTTAATACCCTCTTCATCGATACTCGTGACCTTTTTGGTTTGTTCCTCATTATTCCAATACCCGCCTTCCATATTGCAATATCCACTCACACATAATTCACCCGTTTCATTCACAGGCAATATCTGATTTGTAACCGGATCAATTACCTTGGCCCGAATATGAGGTAGTATTGTCCCAACAGTTTCGACGCGTCTTTGTAGGGAATCTGTTGGGCTGGTCGCAAAAGAAACTGGGGACGTTTCTAGCGAATGAGATGTGTGAGAATTTCAATTTAAATTTAAATTTAAATTGAAATTGAAATAGAATAGATTCATTCATCACCCGGTACCTGTCATGCCATACGTAATGACCAGATCATCCAAGTGCATTTTTTCTATGATAGATTTCATCACTTCAGCAGAAACAGGTACGCTACCTATCGATCCCATTCTAAAGAACGAGAAATAGTTTAATTTCTGTTGATTGACAATAAAATGCTACAAATAAATACTAACCTCAAACTGTTTAGATCATATAAATGAAAATTTGGATGATTCATCTCCTCAATAAACATTGTGGGTGCTAGTCGAAATGAAAATTAGTCTTTCATGCGCAAAGGCATAGAAATTCAGGAGGTCAACTGTTAATGCAAAAAGTATATTACACCCATTTAAGCCTGTACACTTTTCTTCTTCAACAGCTTGTAAAGTTTTCTCTGCATTAAAATACTCATTCGGATAAACAACAGATGCTCCATAGATCAAAGTTACAAGATTGCCCAAAACAAATGTAAATCAGTGTATTAGAATAGCCTGATATAAGAAATATTTTCAATCCTGGAACGGCTTACCAGAACAGTGATATACTGGAAATGGACTACATAAAACATCATCCGGTGTAAGACCCATGATATGGCCAACAGTCTATAATGGCCTATGTTAGTGCCCTAATCACAACAAACACTGATAAAAAAGGTACAAATACCCACCTTTGCGTTGTTGAGAACATTACGATGAGATAACGAGACACCTTTTGGAGCACCTGTAATTTCTCATGTTTATTATGATAAAAAAATGACCAATGATTGGGTAGTAGGAATTATAAAGAATCATACCTGTAGTCCCTGAGGTGAACTGAATGGTAATAATGTCCCTACTGCTTAGAGTCTTTTTGATATCTGTTAACACATCATTTGCTAAAACCTTTTCAAACATTTCGTGAAACCGTATAATCCCCCGAATATTCTCAATGTCTTTTATGGGATGGTGTGTATCCACAACAATAACCTGCCTTAGTTCCGGAAGTGCTTCGGCGAACAATTCATTAGGTTGGCAAACACTCAATTCGGGTACAAGTTCTTTGACCAGCTCAATATAACGTGCTGATTTGAAATCCGATGAAAGTACAAGCGATTTGCATCCAACAATATTAAGAGCTTGTTTAATATCAGAAACTTGGTAAACGGGATTGATGGCCACTAAAATAACGCCAATTTTAGCAGTGGCATATTGTATAGTAGCCCATGCAGAATTATTGTTGAGCATAAACACGCACATTCGATCGCCTTTTCGCAAACCACTTCTGTAAAGACCTCGAGCCAAAGCATCAATTTGTTCGCCAAATTGACGATAACTCCAGTGTAGGTTATTTTCATGTTTCACAACTAGCGCTTGGCGGTCACCATATTTTGAAATTATGTTATCTAAGCAATCCCCAATCGTTTCTTCGATAAGTGGAATGTCTGTCCGTCCTTGAACATAGGAAAGGTTACCGCTGTGAACAAAAAGTTGAGCCGCAAATAACCAACATTTTGTGAAGCGCAAAATTAAATAAACTAGTGATAAAGACAGCGGAAAGACTTTTTAATATTCTGTCTTACCTTGAAAACACCATTTTCTTGTTTGATGACGTCGAAGCAAAACCTCTAGTCGTATATCACCTTCTCAAATTTTTTTGGCAAGCTTGCCAAGTGTGCACCATGCAGAATCTGAACAATATATAAATGGAAATTTTGGCTAACTATATTTTTATAGTTAAAAACTGGATAATGACTTAAATTACGATAGAATGTCGTGATCGAATTTCGTGATTATTGTCGTTTGGTGGGAATGTTAACTATTTAGAGTTAGAAAAGTTAGAAACGAGAAAAGGGTGTTAAGTACTTTAGGAGATTTGATATGGAGGAGGGAAGAAGTTCCACTCATGTTATAATCATGAAGAAGGGAGTAGTGGTGTAGCTTTCTTAAAATCATCCAATTTGTAGCACTCTAAGGTTTTATAATTCAACATAAAATTGGTCCTTGTGAAATCTAAAGGTTTCGAATCGTCAAATCAAACTTACAATCAAAACTCGATATAAAGAATCGCGTTATAACAAGAACAGATCTTTCATTAATTAGAAACCTGTAATATTGCAAACTCTCGTAATAAGCCATTCTCGATATAACGAGTTTTCGCTTGGTACCAAGATTCCCATTTGATTGTATTGAAATTAGATTTGTTATACCAGTCAAAATGAATTCAAGTACAAAAGTATATTGTTATTATTTTGAGCTTTTGCATATGAAAGTATTTCAAAATGGCTATAGTGACTGTGTTCATGACAATTTACTTTGAATTATGACTGAATAGTGTTTATGACAAGATAAAAGAATACTAAGACAAAACTAAACTAAAAGAAAACTTAACCAAAAATTACTATCTTCAAAAATAAATCAAACTAACATAACTAAACAAACTTAAAACTGAATCAAAAGAACTTAAATAGAATTCAAAAGAACTTAAATCAAACTAAAAGAACTTAAAACAAGAATTAAAGAACTTAAATCAAACTTGAAGAACTTGAATTTTATTAATTATCAATACTTATATTTATATATGTGACAATGATACAATAATATAGCATAACATAGTATAATACAGTTGTAATGCAACATGTGACATAATAGATCTTTACTACTATTATAAAATTATTGGTTCTCTTTTAATTACATGAAAAATTAATTACATCATAATTAATAATTTTGTTTTACACTAAAATGAAAAATAGAAGTTAAACAAATATAGAAAATGATAAATTTGCCAAGAGAATTATATAATTAATATATCTAAATTAAGATAATAATAAAAATAAGAAATAATGAGAAAGAGAAAAGAATAAATAAAAATAAAATAATATTCTTGACTTGAATACAAATTAAAACTATTATTGTAACTGATTTCATGTAACTGCACTTTTTATTCATATGTTCATTATATTGAATCAATGACAATATATTGCTACTATTTTTGTAAAGTTTAAGTTATTTATGTGTTATTTATGTGTTTCTATTAATTTAAAGATGAGAGAAACTAAGTTTTTATATTGGGAGAGATTACTAAAGGTAAATAATATGTGTTCTTATTATAACAAGCTAGAATAATATTCAATAAATTCTTTAATCTAGCAATAAGTTAATTCTTAGATTTGCTAAAACTATAATATTTATTAATAAATAATGATTTCAAAGACTTATTATAATTCAAAATATAGTTATCTCTTTATATACTATTATAAATTTTAGTAAAAATTCTTTAATTAAAGAATATATTGTTATTATTTTAATATAACTTTAGATTTTATCATGAGAATACATATGATAGAGTCAGATGGGAGAGTTGACATATTAAATGACTTTAAGTTGGGAGAGTTTACTAAGTTATCTAAAGATAAGTAACATATATTTATTTTGTTGATCAGCTAGAATGAGACCAAAAAGATTTAAAGCTAATTGTGCCTTTTATAATTCAATTTATAATAAGTCAAGCATTTCTTTTAAGTTGGTTTATAAACAAGTAAAATATAATTTTCTTTTATCAATTCAATACTATTATTGATTTCACAATATTGTTGTGATATGAATTTTAGCATATCACATGACTTTTCATAGTTAATTTTCATTGGATAATTGATTTATAAATCATATCCATATTTATTTCATACTATTTTTATAACATTTCATT